TATATATATATATATATATATTTTGCTATTCCAAAGCCTATTTGCTCAAAAATTGATGCTCATAAATAGTACAAACATGCCTAATTCAAGAGGTACTATCAATTTAAGACAAAACCCATTGACAGTTGACCAAAGCCAATCAGAGTTGACCAAAGCCAATCAGAGCTAGCTCAGAGGCAAATCAAATGGGTATGTGTTGATATTTATTATATTTGCTGAAATTGAGATGATTTGAAAGTTGAAACACATTTTTTTTATAAGAAAAAAGGCCTAAAAAAAAGGGGGGGTCTTTTGAAATGGTAGCAATAATAATCCTAATAATAAGCACAAGAAAATGAGGCCAAAAAATAATAATTCAAAGCTATCCACACAAAGTCTTCAAATTTCAACCTAACTAAGCTAACCAAGTAAGAATAGTAGTACTACCACAATCACAAGCTTGCAAGCAAGAAATTGAAGAAAAAAATTACACAAAAATAAAAACTTGGTGCAAACCAACCTAATTAGCTACTTATTAAACCCAAATCCAACTCGATTATTTATTGCGCGGGATTTAAAATTACGAGTCTTTGTGATGATCTTCCTCTTCGTTGTCGCTATCTTGCCGTTGGCTCGGGTCGTGGTGTCGGTGGTGATGGTGCTCCAAATTCATCCCTAAATCGATTCGATTATTATTGTTGTTACTGTTGTTATTGTTGTTGTTGTTGTTGTTGTACGCGTTCATCGAGGCTAGCATTCCCATGTTCGTCTCGGTTACGCCTAAGCCCAGCTGTTGAACCGGCTGTTGATGTTGTTGGAGAACCATGGACCCGAGCTGAACCGGGTTGAACCGGCCGGTTCCTGGAAACTCGAACCCCCCAATCCTCTGCATCGAGGAAGCCTTGTACTGCCACTCCTGCTGCCCGACGGTGGCCGCTGCAGTGGCGGCGGCGCCGGTTCCGGTGACGGGGAGCATCCAGAAAGCGTTCCCGACGTTCGCGGTGGCGGGGGCCACGGCCCACATGGCCTGAGCCGGGATGAAGCTCGACGGCTGGGCCGGGTCGGTTTTGCCGTCGGGGCCCGGTTTGGGCGACGTGGCGCCGGTGGCGTCCTCCCGGAAGCGCTTCTTCATGTAGGCGCCGGAGGGGGAGCCGTCGTCCGGGTCGACGGAGAAGGGCGGGGCGGCGGCGGAGGGGACGAACTGGTGGTGTTGGTGTTGGTGGTGGTGGTGGAAGCCGAGCATGTTTGCGGCGGCGCCGCCGAGGAAGAGTGGGGCGGACTTGGAGGGCGGGGCGGAGATGGTGGTGCCGCTGCTGCGGAGGGAGACGTTGAGGGTGGAGAA